CAGTGAAAGAGACATCTCGCTTAAATTCACTCAATGCGATGAAATACGAATTATCAGTCAAAGTTCAGGTTAGGTACGTAAGCATCTTAAGATGGAGCAGAAGCTTATAACTTAAGTCATAAGCCTCTGGATGGAGACGGTATTATCTACTGTGGAACCTTGAACCTAAAGACTATTTCCAAAACTTTCTAGTAAGCAATCGTTAATCTTTTTTTCTTTTCACAGGAGTTGATTTAAAAATAAAAGATAATAGCAAAGAAAACCTTGACCTCCTCTAAACGTGTTAAGGTTGAAGAATCCCAATTTGTTGAACGCAGTCGTTTCATGAAGTCTTGGTCCATCTATCAGAATATTACTTGAGGCTTTCAATAGTCCTTTTTACAGTTGTGGGCTTGGTGGCCAAGCCTTTGAACAGGAGTGAGGCTAAGGGTGACACTGTTGTGATAGAGACCTGTATCTAGTTAGCATGATAACAAAGTAATTTGCATTTGAAAAGCAGCAACATCTCTCATAACAAGGTCACCCTAAGCCTCACTCCTGTTCAAAGGCTTGGCCACCAAGCCCACAACTGTAAAAAGGACTATTGAAAGCCTCAAGTAATATTCTGATAGATGGACCAAGACTTCATGAAACGACTGCGTTCAACAAATTGGGATTCTTCAACCTTAACACGTTTAGAGGAGGTCAAGGTTTTCTTTGCTATTATCTTTTATTTTTAAATCAACTCCTGTGAAAAGAAAAAAAGATTAACGATTGCTTAATAGAAAGTTTTGGAAATAGTCTTTAGGTTCAAGGTTCCACAGTAGATAATACCGTCTCCATCCAGAGGCTTATGACTTAAGTTATAAGCTTCTGCTCCATCTTAAGATGCTTACGTACCTAACCTGAACTTTGACTGATAATTCGTATTTCATCGCATTGAGTGAATTTAACCCAAGACATTGAGCCACTTCAATCAAACCCAGAACTCTAATGGTAATCAAAGTTTCTTTATTTTTCAGCAAGTTCCTTCCTAGAGCTTGCAGATTTGAAAACCGAAATAGCATGTGACGGAGAACACTTCATGACTCATTGCGCTAACGCAGGCTTAGGGCTGCATATCTATTCTGCATTCTATGGACGAACAGATACTGGTCACGTGTTGTGCCCCTACAATGGACAAAATAATGACAAGAATTTCAAGTGTCCTGAAACTCACGTCACAGTCAAATTTAAAACCTTATGTGGATGGAGAAACAAGTGTAGGGTCAAAATTAATGCTGCACTCTTCGGAGATCCTTGTCCACAGAAGAAGCACAAGCATTTGTATTTGAGCTTGGTTTATACGTGTAGTAAGTAGTAGCAATTTTCGTGAAGCTGCTGAAAACCGACGTTTTTACCCATATACCATTTTAAGAAAAAATCAGCTGAGAAATGAGAAAAGTCTAAACTTTATCCCTCCAGCTGTGTCTGTATCATAGTGGAACAGATAAACTAAGGGTTACCTACGTTTTTGAATCTTTAGATTAAAAAAATTACAACATTGTATGTAAACATGCAGCAAACACCAGCTCATTCCCTCGTTCAAAGTGTTAGAAAAGGACGGTGGGCAACCCACGTGACTGTGAGGGAAAAAGAGTCTCAACGTCAGAGGCTGTCTCTGCTGAACATCGTGGAAAATACTTAACAATTATTCCACGAGCGTGCGTTGGATATGAAATGATAGATAGCCAACGAGGCACGTAGCGCCGAGTTAGCTATAATCATCTCATATCCAACAAGCGCGAGTGGAATAATTGTTTTATTACAAAAAGCGCTCCCAAGATATTAGACAAATCTTCTCGACTTTATCTTGTTTGAAGAAACCGGATGTTACAATGTATAGATATTAGATTATGGTTTATTGGCTCATATACCATAATGGCTAAGCTAATAAAAAGTCTTGAATTGCATTATCCAATGATCCAGTTTTTAATAATTGGCATTTTACCATTTCAGCGCGATGCCAATTTTAGATTGTTTCAAAGCTTGAGGCGTGAATTGGGTAGAATTTACTTTATTCCAACAAACTGTCTTGTCCAAAGATATTCTTTTGATTATTACGTACTTTTTTCTTAAAGAGCTGTATGGACGACTGAGAAGGCCGCTCTTAAACCTACCAAAAAGCACGGAAACCACTTCAACGAGCATTTTATCGGCTCCAACCTCTTCACTGGTCAGTTCCTCATCGGTATCGATGGCGATATCTCCAACAGCAACCTCCCTCTCTCCCTCCAGCTCCATTCCACTGACCACGTCAACACCGACGGTCGAGAACATCCCGAAAATCATCAGCCCTAACACTAAGGACACTTCTTCTGTTGGGGAGGTTGGCTCTTCTTCTGATACTAACGCCAGATCACTTGGGATCGCAGGTGCACTGTTTGTGTGGCTTTTGTTCGTACAAGGTATATAAGAGCGTCTAAGGTTCGGTAACAACCCTATATAAGGGAGAAAAGAGAACAAGTTTATTCGTTTGTTTATTAGCCTATCATATAAACCTCCAAAATGTGAAATTATAGTCAAGAACAGATAGCGAGAATGGACAAAATAAATTAAACTAGGGTCTGCGCTGTTGCCTAGATTTTCGGCGAATGAACTCACTCTACATAACTGAGATCAATGCAAAATCTTTGCAATTAGCGGTGAATTTTCCCTATTTCGTCCTTGGAAAGCTGAATTCTTTTGATTGTTTCGAAGTTTCATTTATTCAAGTTGCTTTTTCACAGAGATCTCCGATGAAAGTAATATTTGCTTGTGATTCAGATTGATCAAATGCCTGATAATCGCAGCTGAAAAAAACACACTTATAATTTGCGCCCTGCTTTTCAGATCACGGGTCTGACTATATTACAGTGTTTTTTGCCAGCGCTGCTGGTGCACTAGTCCTCGTAATTATCATTGGTATTTTCATCTACTATCGCCACAATGAAAACAAGCAACATTTACACGTCAAGGAGTTGCCGAAATTAAACGCGTATGGAACGGTTGAACGGAAAATGCTACCGGAAGTTGATCCATTCATATCCGGCCCCATCAAGACCCCGCCTCCTGATTGCATGATGGAAGGGTACAACTACAACTGGCAGCGTGGTGGAACCTCACCTCCGAAGAAGTCTGAAAATGGTACGTTTGTGGGGAAATTCAGCCCAAAAGATATGAACGGCGAGAGGTAAGCCAGCTGCATCCCTTTCACATTTTTGAAAATTGGCGCTCTTTGCATATTTAATTAACTGCGCATGTCAGGTGCGTAATATGGGGGCCTGGGACCAATTTAGGCAAATGTTCAGCTTTATATGGGATAAGTTTGATATGCCAAAATTATAAATTTTTTTCGCGTTTTTCATCGAAAACGTTTGATCTTAAGTGTTATATTAAAGCATTTGAAACAGGTCCGCATTATGTTAGTAACTAAATTGATATTTGTACTAGAAAAGCTGACTTGCAATATGGTCAACAAACAAACAGACGAACGTAATTCCTCTTCAGCCCTCCACGGAAGACCCTGAAGTGCTTCAGTTCTTTATAATCAAAAGTCTTTTTTCAGCTGGCTGTTATATTCAACTGCATAATCGATTGATTTTCCCTTATCTTGTTATCTCGTTTTTTTTTTTCCTTCTCTTGAAGGTGGGCATTTGTCTAGCCAAGCATAATTATTATAATTTATGATCTCATTTTTTATGCTTTTAACATGCATCAACGATAATAATCTCCATCCTCGATGTTCCATGCACTAATTTTTTTTTTCACTCAATGCTTTCATATTTCATTTTGTTTAATTTTTTTATTTTATTTATTTTTTTTTTTTTTATAGTGTTGTGTTTAATTTTTCTTTCAGCACGCTATAAAAGGAGGAAAAGCATTCCACGCTAACACGGCTGGGTTTCTCCAATTAACATTCCTATCAAAGCCCAATACCCTTCCGCTTAATTATTAAAACACCACCAAGGAGCAGGAACATTAAAGAACATAAAAAAAAAATCCTCGTTATTTTCATAAGTAATAACAAAAATTTATAACAGCTCAACTAACTCGTTTGGTACACTTACGAGGTCTGTGACCATGTGAATAACGCAGAGGCTTTAAGACTCTAAGAACTTGCTTTTGTTAACGTAAAGTGAACTTATTAAATTTTACACTCCGCAGTTTTCGCACTAATATTATTTAAGTGATCGTTTCATTCAATCTAGATAATTTATCAACTGGGTATTGATGGGAGAATTTAAATAGATATCACTTGTGGTGTCAAAGGGTTAAAGATGAAGTTATTTCATGCATGTCTTGAAACTAGTGCTCAACAAATTGATTCAGTAGCCACTTACATTTTCCCTTTCAATTCCCTATCAGTGACGGGCGTGTGTCTGATAACACCAAGACACTGATAGGTCTGCTGCTAATGTTAGATCCTCAAAAGAGACTTACAGCCTCCGGTGTTTTGGATTTCTGAGAAACACCATGACAGCATGGTGAGTCAAGTAACAATAGTTCATTGCTTTATGTAGATCAGTTACATAAAGGAATCACTTTTCATCGTGCTGTAAGAGCAACAACTAACTTGAGTGT